ATATTATGGCAACACTATACTGATGGTTTTGGATAGATAGCCTCAGCTTTAAACTCCATTTAATTACATGCTTGCTGTTCTCTTATTGTATTTGTTTTCAATTGAGCCATGCGCATCATGAGCTCTTACATGAATTTTCTGGAAATAAACAACTAACACTAAAACATTAAGTGGTTTTCTTAGTCATCTGGCTACTATGTCATTATCTGGACATAGTGCCGCACCAAGGACTGGCCCTTTTTCCATGGATTGGGACTGGCTGGTCAACACTCCAAGAGCTTATGACTGATGTGTAAGAAAGGATACCACTGAGGTCACAAAAATCATAGTAGGATGTAGTCACAATTACCATACGTTCTGTTATTTTAATGAAATTGTCCATGACATTCCCAACATATTTCTGTGCACTGTTCTTTGTGTGTTAGAAATGATATTACACTTCTCAAAAGTTAATAGCAATTGGCAGTATCGTGGTTGGCAGTTACTTTAGGCAGTATTATCTCTTAGGTAAGATTTTTAGTTTGCTTCTCAGCAGTTGACATGGCAGACTTGAATTACTGTGATATCTCTCTCTGTCACATGGTCCTTGACTATAAAACTGGTTAAAACTGGCTTCAGCCCAAAGTAACTTGCCATAAAAAAACTCTTTCAGTCAAAAGCAATGGGAAAGCACCCACTGGTTAAAGAGAAGAATGTAAATGGAACTGAAAAGCAGAAGCTAAGAGGAGAGGTTATTCAGCCAAGACATGACAATTCTGTATCTGATTTGTGCTTTTCTTCACCACCTTTATCCAGATAGAAAAAGTGATACACTTCCTCTTGTATCACTTGCCTGTTACCCAGGGAGATAAAATTTTTCAATAAAAAAATGAAATGCAAGACTGTACACTTTCAGAACTAAGCCTCATTATTTAAATTCAAACTCCTCTCATCTTCAGGAAAAATAGCATGCAGTATTTCATCTACAGACTTCTTATTCCTGTGCTTTGAATTAATATTAACCATGAACATCTATACTTCTGGAAGAAAAGAGTGAACACCAGTGTTGCAGAACCAACTCCTGGATGTGTACAGGTTCCAGAAGAAACCATCAGCATTTCCCTTCCTTGTTTTACTGTGCCTGACTAGAGGAAACTCCCAAATGCTCAGATAAGCCTGGCACGGTATGGCCACAAACTTGTCTTGTCATCTACCTTCCAGATTTAATTTCTCTCTGCCCTCCACCTACTGCACTTTAGAATAAAACAGGGCTAAATAACTTCTTTTTAATAAGTGATTACAAAATGCCCTGTTCTCATCCTGCTTAGATTGTGCAAACAGCCTACTGCTAGACTATTCTGAACTTGACCCTCATTCTGCATCCAAATTCCATGATACAGCCATTCATCAACTTGATTTTGGCAGTGTTATACATGCCCTCTGAAATATTATGTTTGGCAGGCCCTCAAAGCACGAGTGACTTTTAGCATACAAATCTCACTGACTTGCTGCATAGTCTCCTTCATGATCTTTGATCAGCATGAGCTCAAGACCTCGGCTGACTAGCATAAAACCAAAAATAGTGTGTTTGACAATGCAAGTCTGAATAACAATTAATATGCAACCTCAGTGGTAACAGTTGGTAGTGTATCAGCTGCTCTGTGACTGCTTTTCTCAATCTCTGTCCAGGTGAGCTGGTCGGCAGGAAGAAGGTGCCCAGGAGGGACCTGCCTCTGGTCCCTAAATGAAGCAAACGTTGCTGTACGTTGTCTTGTCCCACCAAGAACTGACTGGAGATGGTAACTGCAAAGAGCAGGCCCCTGAATCAGGACCTTTTTAGTTAGAGAAGAAGCAGTAATGACTCTGCATATATTTGTAAGCTTTGGAAAATTTTAGAAGCATTTCTATTCTTTTTGAGTGACTATAGTTGAATGTTAGTTAGCCCTGGGCTAACAATGGGGAAATGGCAGCACAGAACAGGCATGGAGCTGTCCCTGCCACTCAAATTTAATACTTCAGGATCAGTTCTCAGGCTTTTTCTAAGATTGCTGCATCTCACCTCTTTACGTTCTCAAAGCCTCTAGAGTACAAGGTGTCCTGGGATCCTTGCATGCAATGAGTGAATATCCCTGCAGCAGCTCTTTGTAAAAGCAGCAGGAAGTATTTGATTGCTTCAGTGCTTCATATGACCCAGCAACTAAATATCCATGTGAAAAGGCATCTAGCCCACCCATAACTGAAGAAGTGTTGTGGGGATCTGCTCAAGTCCCGTAAGGCATAACTGACACCACTGCATCCCAACCACCCTTCCTCAGAAACCTCTGCAGGAAAAAACCTGAAGGAGTTACCTGGGCCCTGGCACCGTCCTCCATTGCCTCGGAGAGAAACCTTGGGACCAGCAGTGATTCAGCAGAAGACGATGTAGTGCAGAATTGATTTCCTTGGCAGCAACCCCACTGCAGGTCCACTGACGCTTCTGTATAACACCTCTTTCATCAATAACAAGTAAAACCAAAACCCTTGACTCTCATGGAAGGGAGACACTAAACATGATGCAGTTTAGCACTGTTTTCTGAAAATAACATCCCAACCTTGCACGTAGGAGTCAACCTTCATAACAGTAACCCACACCTCTGTTCTTTCAGCCACACTAACCAGAGTCTTCCTATTTCTCACGGTCTGGGAGCGGAATCCAACCCTTGCCAGAGCTGGTGTTCGTGCCCTTTAATGGCAGAAGAGACAAGCACTCAGACTCCAAGCCTGATTCTTCAGTCAGTTGTGCGTATTCCACGCCACTAAATAACTGCAGTGAAATCTGTGTTGTAAACCAGTAAAAACTATTTTGTGATGATGAGGGATCAGGCTGTGTAAAACTTATCCAGAAATGAAACAAGTAAAACAGAGCAAACAGCTCTGGCTTGTCAAGGTAATTTATCTCCTTAACCAGAAGAAAAAAACAGGCACAGGAGACATCTGGAAGTGAAAATTAACTAAAACCAGACTAATGACATAAACAAGAGAGAAATACAGCCTCCAGATCTGTGTAGCTGAGCCTGATGGATATCACAAGCTAGATTGCTGGCGGTGTTTATTTTTAAAAGGACTCAACAAATCAGGGAGGAAAATTTCCATTTAAAGCTGTAACTACTTGATTCAGAGATTTGTGGGGGCATAAAAGACACAAGCACAAAGGAAAAAATCAGCTGCCAACAGCTCTGGGTGCTTGTTGGGCTCAGAACTAATTGAAAAACAATAACCATTATTTTAGAATCATTTTTGCTGCCAAAATTCGCAACTAGTATTATTTACAATCTGCTGTATGACCACCTGCAAATCTAACTGAATTTTAAAAATACATACTTACATATAAACATATACACACATAAATAGTCATAAACAACTATTTGAAAAAAAATAATGTAGAATATACATTTCAAAAATGTCAGTTAAGCAAGTAAATTCTCCCCCTGTTGCAATATTGTCTTGCACTGAGGGCATTTGCTCCTGGCAGTGAAGGAATTGCTGGGTTTGGTGTATTTCCTTCAGATGTGTGAGAAAGGCTGTACATGCTCCTAGCTGAAGAAAATCTGGCCACAGTTTTCACCTCATCACCAACCTTGAAACCAGTTTTCTATTCTCTTGCCTATCTAGCTATGAAATCTTCATCCAAACTGCAGTGGGCTCTGCCATCTGTTTGATTCCCCTGCAGATCTGGGCAGAGCAGTTTTATGATCTGCTTTCATGTCTGTAATAGAGAGTATTTTTATAAAGGTGACAAATGCTACTACTTAAAAAAATGACGGATGTTGGTTTATTTTTTATTTTCAATGTTGGCAAAAATATCTTTATGGAGCTTTTATTTCCTCATACCACCCCCAAAACCCACCAAGGCAAACATTTGCTAAAATAATTGTAAGCTAAGCAAAGCAAAGTGGAAAGAATAAGGTTTTGGATTATATACCATTATATTTTATGCACCAACAATACTGCTTGCCAGATTCAGAGTCCACAACATTTCTAAGCACAAAAGTAATTTTCAAATCCCAGGCTAGGTTTGCAGTGCTGACAGATTAAAATTCTGTCTTGCTTTACTTAGAAGTTGACCCAATTTGACAGAAAAATCTTCAGGAGAAAGAAAATGTAGAACTCTGTATTTTATTTGATACCGCTTTACCGACTACAGCAATGCTCTGAATGTCAGTGGTGTTATCCAGGCACTGAAAAACAAACCCTGCATCAAAACATGTGCCTGAAAGTTGTACCTGATTCCTTTATTTCTGCATGGAAAAGGTGACATTCTTTCCCTATGGTACCACCCTCATGGTGCACCCATCATGCAACTTTTTTTGTCCTGCTCCTGCACGGGAATAATGGCCTGTCAGTAAATCATAAGTATTATAGAGGCCCTTGCTGTGCTTCTGAAGTCACCAGAAACTAGTAAAAAAACAGTATATAATTTAGTCTGGCTTCGTGTGACTTGTGCAGTTCATGTGGCTCCTTCATTTATGTACGTTGTGCAACCACCATGTGACAACCTCCCCAAAGGAGGCCTGTGGGATAAAAGATCCCACGCACGTCTGCAGGCAGAGATGGGACTCAGAGAGGACTGTAAAAGGCATGGTGGAAGGAAAATAAGCAAATTGCTTCCCTGAAATGGAAAAAGAGAAGAGACAGGCAAACTTATTTGATTTTCTAAAGCCTGTATGTTCTCAGGTACTGAAGTGATGAATAGCACTTGCTAGTTCTTCTTCCCCACGGGGGACATTCACACAAGTGATACCGGGCTGCCTGCAGTGACTCCCAGGGACTGACAGCACACTTTGCATCTCTCATCCATGAAGTCTGGATGATGGCAGGAAGACATGGGATGTTCTGCTGCTGATCTGCAACTCTTGAGTACCAGGTCAGAAGCCTAGGAGGAGCTGGACAGTGTAGGGAGGTCTTCAGAGATCGTTTCCAGTGTGCTTTAGTGCTGATGTTTATGCAGCCCCTCTTTTATGTTTCCTTTTGCTGTATGGGATTGAGTATTGAATATAAGTGATTTTTACATCATTAAAAATTCTTTCAAATGAGTCAATAAACCGTTTATTTCAGTTCCTAATACAGGTATATTTCTGTTGGTTGCCAGGAAAAGAAGAAATGTTAACAAATACATACAATTCAGGACAAACATGGAAATCATACATTTCAAAGGCTGTTAGAAAACATTATCAGCCTCGTCTATACATGTTTAAAAAGGAAAGCCCTAGCTGATCCGATGTTAATTAAAAATCTGCGTATCTACAGTCTAAGTCTGTTTCCAGCAGACCCAGTGTGACAGGCCAGCGATGCAGGTAACCTTTGTGCCTTGTGCGTCAGTGACAGTGGCACCAGGGCGTGCCTGCTGTGCTCTCTGCTGGGGACAATGGCACACGTACAGCACCTGATCTCCTTGCCCCGATGCTTGCTGCTGATACCGCTATCGGTTTCATCCTGCACAGTGGGCTGAGCGGGCAGCTAACACAGCAAGGGCTTAGAAGAGACTATAAGGCAAAGATGAACGGAGAGTGACGATGCCCAAAAGTGGTAAGAGAGAGGGGAAGAGGACTAGAAGCAGTAGCCACCCTGGGGGCAGGATATTGGAAAGTGAAGTGGAAGGGGCACCCCTCTGGAGCCGCAGGGAGAGAAGGTAGCTGTGCGTCACCCACCAGTGCCCCAGAAGGAGGAAGGGGGGAGCAAGATGTCCCTGTGCCTTCCCTGTGCACCTCCTTGCCCTTCTGCTCTCAACTCCCTTTGCCTTGAGCTCGCACTTTTGCTCCTGCTGCTCAAGCATATGGTGCTTTGTTTCCAGTGCCAGGGAGGCTTTGTGAACAAGCTGCATGTGCTTCTTGCATTCCTTGACCTGAGCCCATCTAGGGTGAGTGGCCAGCTTGAACCATGAGCATGGGCATGGGCACAGCTGCAACACAGCTGCAGTGTAGCTTAGGCAGGGAGCAGTGTAAAAGCACCTCCTGAGAGAAGGGCAGCCATTCCCAACAAGGCTCCTCACAGCATTTTCTCAAACACCTCTCTGATTGAAGACGTGATGCCTGCACCCATTACCTAAGCTGGCCCTGAGCCCAAGCAGTCAAGACCCTAGGAAGGGTAGGAGGGTATGATGCAGGCCTGACAGCCAGTGCTTGTTATGGCTGGTAAAACTGACACAGATTGAGTCCCCGACTGTTTGTTGCTCCTCCGTTTAGAGGAATGGAGCTCCTCACACAATGGCTTAGGAGATTGTCATATGGTTGTAGAGGAAATGAGGCTCCTCACTGAAGGAACCTGAGCGGGATAAGCAAAGGGTGTCTCCAGGAAACAGTGCTGAGATTGCTCTTCCAGAAGGAAGGGATGTGGGCTCAGAGCAAAGAATCTTCTGCAAGGGAAGAAGAGCTGCTCTCATCCACCTCTCAGCTCATCTAAGAAACAAGCAGTGTCTGAACAAGGAGTTCACATCCACTCCATTCCCCAGTATCACAGGGAAGGAGCCTGCTCCAGAAACAAAATCTCAGCCTCTAAGCTGGCACTAGATCTTTTGTGTGCTCGTGTAACAGATACCTGTATGCAATGTGCAAAAGGCTGTCCTTAAAAATCAAGACCTCTGACTAGACTGGCACTTATATGGGCACAAGATACGCTTGAAGTGTCGGTCTTGTTTCTTTGGTTGTTTTAAGATTTGTTGTCATTATACTTTATCTGTAATTAATTGTTTTTTTAAATGTTATTGGTTTATACAGCTTAATTCTATTTGCCAAAACATGCTGACTATTGGATTGTTGCAGTTTTTTCTCTATCACTAGCATGCTGTTGTAAAATACATGGCTACTTTAAAAATCAATCATCTTGTTTTCTGGAGGCATGAAGAGGAGTTATTGTTAAGAGGAGAAGGAAACTTAGGCACCATATCAGAAGAAAACACATTGGCTCAAAATTCATGCAGTGCACCTCAAAGTTCCTTTCACTGTGTGCATGGCCTCATTTTGCCACTTTGAGGGTGACGAATCATCAAAGAGCTCTTGGGCTGACCGTGGCCTCTGCGATGCTCTTCACATGATCCCTTGTCCTCCTCTGCACTGTATAAAGGACTGCTATGAGTCTCTCAGGGCATCTTCTTTCATCCTCCCACTTGGAATCAGGTCCTGCCAGTTGTACCCTGAAGTTAGTGACAAAATTAGCAGGTCCCTGACATGACCCCCTTCCTACGGTGCTTCACTTCATCCTATGCTGTTGTGTCACACTAATGTAGTATCACTTTCCATTGCAGTGAAAGTTCCACATCTTGGCCTCCCTCAGCAGCAACTGTGTTGGCCATAGTCTGTCTCACACCTGAGCTTTCCCCATCCCTCTGTCCATAAGCTGAGGGCATTGAGGATTCCTCTTCTGCTTAAATAGCTGCACAAGGCTCAGGTTATGGCTTCCCTTTCTCTGGATCTAGGTCTGAGATGCATGTAAGGGAAATCAAGCCTCAGGAAAAATGAGGCTTTTCCAAAACTGGGGGAAAACCACTGCGAAACCAAGCAGCACTAACTCCTTGGAGTAGTCTCAGCTAAAAGGATGCGAACACAGTTGCTGCAGGGCTCTTAAAGCTGACACAAATTATCCAGTGTCTAAGAGCACCCCAGGATAGAGGTTTTTTAGGGTCCTCCCCCAAGTACGGTGGCTGCTGTCAGAGACAAGGTACAGGCAGATCCTTGCAGGTGGTCAGGCTGACAGGTCTCTTACCCTGGTGTTTTGCTGGGCAGAAAATACCACAGAATATGCAGATGCTTACATGTCAGTCAGGAGTCTGCATCTGTCACATAAGGGGATAGCTACACCTGTGTAACAGAAAAGCTGGAATTTGCTTGCTTGCCTCTACTTCTTATGTGAACACTTACAAACCTGCAATGACAAAAGGTAACTTCTGCCAGTGCGGGAGAATAGGCCCGGATCCCCAGTTCTATCTGTATTTGCTTCAGGGCAGACTTAGGAGAAATCTGGCCGACACAAATCACGGCACAGTCAAGAAAGGGAAAGGAGGAAAATGCAATCAGTATTGAACGCTGTGATGTTCAAATTTTAAGGTGCAGCTCCACCATGCTTCTTGACAGGAGCTAAATAACAGAAAACTATGGACAAGGGGGACCTCATAGATGCTTCTTAACCTCTCACATTGATCTTTCCAGGAGAAGAAATTATCTAATTCCTTCCAAGGTAATTGTATATTACCTACTGACCTTAAGAAAATGTCCAGGTATTCCAGGGACACCAGGGCAGAATCTGGCGCTGGTATTCAGAACTACAAAGAAACACAACAATTAAAAAAAGAGATGACAGAGTGTGACAAACCAATCTGAGTGACTTGGCAAATGCGCAGTGTTAAGTGTCACTTTATTGCTAAAGATGAAGATTATAAAATTGTATGGCTCCATTTCTCTTGCTGCGTGTCAAAACTCCTATCATCTGGAGATGTAATAACGCTCCTTCTGAAATAAGATAGATACGGTCTTTGTGTATTTTTCTGCTTTCTGACCTCTTATCATTTCCAGGTCCTCCACCCTTTCTCTGTAAATGCTGGTGATCTTAATTTATTCTGTTGTGGTAGTTATACTTAGTCACAAATGTATTTCTGTTCCACTCCCTTCAGAATGGACACTCTGAAAGCTTTGGAGTAATCAGGAAAGTTATCACAAGCCATCAGAAATGCCTGCCTACAAAACAGCTAGAAACTTCCTTTTTAAATCAAGGTATTTCCTGAGAAATAGGAAAAGTTACGAAAAGCATATTCGTATCGACATTAATGATAAAATCCAGATATTGCATGCCTGCTCTGAAGGGAAATGGGATAAAGGACACCACACACTCCCTCCTGCTTCCACACAGTTGGGTGGTTTTTGGGACTAAGGTGCTCAAGCTTCAGAAGTACCACTGCAACGGATCAGCACCTTCATTGTCCCCATAACAAGGAACAATCCAGGGAAAAAGGAAGATCATGGCATGGCAGAGCTCTTTCTTTAACATCTAATAATTATTACAAAACAGCACTAAACCAAACATGGCAAGTGGATATATCTAATTGCCATCTGGTTTCTGGGATGACTGAGTGTAACCTTCACCTCATCTTTGTTAACCTCTGTACCAGTTTTGATCTTATAACTGGTTAGTTTGTGTTGTTAGAGGTATAACGTTCACTCCTTTTATCACTTTTCTCTCCTAAACTACTTCTTTCGATTCTTATTCCCTTGACATTTCCTTTTGGCCTAACATAAGAGCATACATATGCTGAGCATAATTTATACGGCGTGGTGCGCTTTCCTATAAAGCATTCTAAGACTTTCTTAAAAGGTTTAAGAAAGTTTCCTAGTATTACTACTTCTTCCTCTGTAAACACGTACTGCTCACTGATCAGTTCAAGGTGGCACTGTGTTCTCAAAACTTCAGAGTTATCCCAAAAGCTCTTTATCCTGAATTGGTGCTGAATACGCATTTCATTCTAACTCGTATCTGTTGCTAAACTACTGAAGCTGATGTCTATATTTGCTCCCTTACATCTGTGCTGCAGGAGACTGGATCTTCTCCATCAGCTGTTGTAAATGGGCATAAATCTGCTGTCTTTGTCAACCTTACATACATCTCCTTACAGGGTCTCTTCTGACAAATCATTCTCTGACAAGGGCTGTGTACTCCCCATGGTTTCCTTGGGGACATACAAAGCCTGAGGCTTTCTTAGAAGACACATTTTGGGGCTTGGGCCTGACAGTTTGGTGCCACTGATGCACCTGCAAAAAGTGTGCAGCTATCAGCTGTATAATGAGCTGGCTGCCGTGCAAGAGCTCTGCTTTCTTAGAGCCAAATTATGATGTGGAGGTGTGAGGCCTGTACGGAGCCACCTGAACTCACCTGAGACACACAAGCGCAGTAAAATTATCACTTATTTTTCCCTCTGCTTTCTGCATTGTGTCAGAAAGATTGTCTTTACTCTGCAATGGGCTGACACAGGCTGTGGCTATTGCCAGCTGAGGACAGCCGCTGGCAGGCAACATGGACAGAGAAGGAATGAGAGAAGGAGAAAAAACCCACAAACCTCTGCTCTCCAGGGAGAGAGTGAGGATTATAAATCTGAATGTCCAATAAAGGCCAGAAGAGGTTGCAGCCTTTACCTTCAACAGCACCACAAGGAATGCAGAGAAGGCCAGAGTGGGCATGAAGAGAAGAAAGCATCACATTTCATTACACCTGCTATCACTGCAGAAGGGTGCAAGGCCTTATCACACCTGATACAATGGCTGTTTACATCTTTCCACCACTTTCCCCAGAAAGTTTCTACTTAACCATCAAATAACCAATGTCAGCTTCAGGAAGAATGGAAGTCCTCATTTTCACTTTCCACAATACGATTCTCTCCTGTCATGGGATGAAGGACCTCCTTCCAGACCAACGTTCAGCAGGCAGACTTACTATGAAAGAGGATATTCCCTGTGCATTATGAAGAAAAAGGAGATTGCGGGCACCGATTGTGAGAAGAACCCCCTGCAAACTGCTAGTCTTTTAAAGAAATATTTTTCAAATGACACAGCTAGGCAAAAATGTCCTGTTTTGAATAACTACAAGAATGTTCTCTCTGCAGGGAGATGTGAAGAGCAATTATGTTCCCAACTTTGCAAACATGGATTACAGAACTGAAAATGTTTTTTGCTTTAGAAAGACTTGCTTTGATTTTGTTCAAGAAATACTTGAAAATCTGCACTCCCAGATCTGCAAAACCATGATAAAATAATTTTAAAAGGTACATGTGTTTCCAGTGTACACATGAAGGCTAGCAATTGTTCAGTAATTCCATTTAAGCCTAAAATGTTTGATGGCTTGGTGCTCTTGTCATACTTTAATGGTATCTGCTGTAACCAGGCAGAGTAATGTCCAGCTCTATTCAGACATTCTCATTTTTAATCCAAAATTTGCATCTATATCCAACAAAGTATATGCTGCTTGACTATATGTCAAAAAGCAACTCTGCATTCCTCCAAAGACGGTCTCAGCAGGAGATGGTAGGTTCAAGTGGAGATAACATGGACTCTCCGTTTCTCAGTTCTCAGGACATCATTGCCTCTAGGGACTGACATCCGTGGAGGAAGGAAGTGTATTTCCTGATGTGGACCTCTCTTCTTGCACCTCTCTTTTCCTGATGGTTCCCTGGTGCAAAACCCTCTCGGTTTTAACAATATTGCAAAGGGAGACTCTGTAGACATTTACGGAGTTTAAATCTCCAACACATGATTGTGAGGAAACTCAGGGGCTGTATATCAAATTAGGCACTGTAAAATGGAGTGACCTAAAATCACGTGTTATTGGCAAAAAATGTGAGTCTTTGTCAATATCAACATCTACCAAAATAGCCATACACGTTTTCTGTTGGCTGGATATTTAAATTCTGGTTGATGCTACATTTTGTTTCACACTTTCTTAAAAACACTTGAAGGGGAGAGGAAGTATAACCACAGCTACTGAAATAAATGGCTACTGCTCCCTGGCCTGTGACAGCAGCATTTATCTTTTCTACAGCCCATGTGTGAGGGGCAGGAAGAGAAGTCTCTCCTGCTTTTGCCTAGCTATTTTCTGCCAAAAATCTTACTGTAATTTTGATACAGTGAATATTTATAACTGTTGTTAGTGTCAATACAATTTTTTGCAGTTACTGCACTCATTTACATTTTAATGGCCAAGTCAATAAAGATTTATGCACCCGTCATCTGAATTTTCCACAAAAGTGGTGAATGCTTCAAAAAAACAGTATCTCCTGGAGAATACTCCCCTTCTAAGCATGCTTTAAATGCCTTCATTGTTTTGGGAAACAGTAGGATATCCATTAAAATAAGCAACTCTTAAAGTCATAAGTCAAATCCAACAAAATCTGCCGGCAGCCTTCATGGCAGAACTTCTGCACATTACAAAAGCACTTGCTCAGGAACCAGTTTTTCTCTCTCTGTTTTTAAACACTATCTCTTGAACAGTGAAGTCTGGTTTATCACTTTGATATGTCTCAGCTGCACAAACTACATTGTTTTTGTAGCTCAAGGAGATGCGCCGCTTAGCATTGACTTTATTTGGAATTTAATGCAGTAAAAGGAATAGTTCGGAGCAGTGCTTCCAGGGGGTGCATGCAGGCCCACCGCTTAGGAGGGGCATGCTGTGCACTCCCTCCTCTAAAACACGAGCTACAGAAAGGAGAACCTGAAAGCATTCCCTCCGTACCCACCCGTGGGCTTCGCGCGGCAGTTCGGGCTGCCGAGGCCCGTGTGCGCGCCCGTTCTGTTCTGGCCATGCCGTTCCCGAAGGCAGCCATGCCAAAAGCCTCTGTTATCCCCACCCAGGGGAGGCAGCGAGACCCACACCACTGTGCTGCTGCCAGGGCCCCCACAGGATCCCTTTCCATTCCTAGGCTAAGATTGTTATTTCTCTGCCGTCCATCCCTTGCTGGATTTCACGGTGGGCCGGCAGCTGCGGTGACAATGCCGAGAAGCGGGCTCTCTCCAGGGGTCCGTTGTCTCTCCAAGGCGTGTTGCCAGCCAGGGCGCATCCTGGCCTGGCAGAGATCAGCCAGGTCTGTTCCAGCTGGAGCTCAAGATCTCAACGACACACAGAAGTACGAGGTGTCTGGTTAGCTTAGGTTGGGTTCAAGTTTTAGGATGGAGTTCAGCCTCAAGGCTGAGGCAAGGACAAGTTAGGCATCTGGCTCCAGCAGCACCCCAGCTTCCCGACCTGCCCTTGCCAGGTAACATCCATAAATCCCAGTGTTTCCACCCAATCCCTCGCACTAGGGCTGCCAAAGGGGGACATGCCCCAGGTGCGGAGCGGGAGCCGCCCCCCCCCCCCCGCTCCCCTTCGGACAGCGCCCCCTGGCGGCGGGGCGGGCCGCGGCGGGGCGAGCCCGGCGCTGCGCTCCCCTCCCTCCGCCCGCCTCCCCTCCCTCCTCCTCCTCCTCCTCCTCCTCCCTCCTCTCTCCTCTCTCCTCCCTCCCTCCCCCCCCCCCCCCCCTCTCCCTCCTCCTCCTCCTCCTCCTCCTCCTCCTCCTCCCGCGCCCAGCCTGCAGCCGGGATCTCAGTATTATGGCATCGAGGAGAATGGAGACCAAACCCGTGATAACGTGTCTGAAAACCCTCCTCATCATCTACTCTTTCGTCTTCTGGGTGAGTGCGGCGCGGCGCGGCGCGGCACCCCCCGGCCCCCCGGGCACCCCCCGCGGCGGCCGCGGCCCCCAACCTGCCCGGGGGGGGGGGGGGGGGGGGGGGGGGGCGGCGGGGCCGGTGGCAGCCGCCTGCGGGCTGCGGGGCTCCGCGGCGCGACCCCCCCGGGCTGCCGTGCGGGGACGCAGCTCTATCGATGCCGGGATATATACGTGCGTACACATAGAGGTGCGTATCTGCGCACACATACATAGGAAATAATTGGGGTTTTTTTTTTTTTGGCCTCTTCTTGCGGCGGGCAGATCCCCCCGAGCCCCCGCAGGGGAAAGTTGCAGGGGTCTCCCCCGGCTGCCGCGGTGGCCGCCCCCCTCCCTGCCTCCCCCCCCCCAGGCCGGCTGGACCGCGGAGGGGGGGCTGCGGGGCGGCCCCGCCGCCCGCCTCCCCGCTGCCTGCCGCAACCCGGTCCCGGGGTGCAGCCCCCGTGCCCCCTTCCCAACAGCCCCCCCCACACACACACACACACCGGCTTTCGGAGCTCGGCCCGGCTCTCACCTGGGCGCACCGGGCGCTGACCTCCACCGCCGCCCGGTAGATCCGCCCGCGCTGCGTTTCGTAACCCGGCTCAGGCTCCCGTAAACCATTTTTATGACCCAGATACATTAATTGAGTTGCAGTGATTGACTGACGGGGAGCTGGGTTTTTCAGGCGACCCCGGAGGCTGGAGGTTTTTCGCAGCGTCCTGGCCTGTTACTCAGCAGATCCCTGGCATGAGCAGCGTATTGTGGCGGCAATCTGCAGATTAAAGACCTTTTAATGGTACATGGTGACAACATATGATAATGGCCCCGTTGTGTGCTGTTAGAGACCGTAATCTGCACATCATTGATACAGTACACTGAAGCGAATTTGTCACTTCCTAGCCAGGGAAGCTGGATTGTGTATTTTTGTTTTAATAGCTTTATGCTGTGAATAGTGTCTGTGAAACGGAGTGACTCAAATTTTCATTATTCTGCTTAAAAATGCATTCTAAACAAAGAATTGCATATTCATGGCAATAACATTTTACATCTTTATAATGAACACATGACTTTAACTATTTCAACTTTAACTTCGTAGGCTTAGTTGTTTTGTTTTGTTTTGTTTTTTTTAAAAAAAAGCATAACCAAAAGTCATTTTGCTAATCCATACTTACGGCAGTACTTCTGCATTACTGTCCCTGCCACCCCCAGGCATTTAACGCACTCACCCCCCTTCTTTTTTAACAATTTTGGTGGTAACCACAGCAGATGCATCTGATGACTGAAATGGATAGGAAGCCGGAATCGTCTGTTGGTTTTTTGTTGGCAAGTAGATCCTTCATGTTAGTCTCAAGGAGGTAGGTTGCTAAGTTTATACACTTGCCACAGTTTCAAGATTCATCCTTACTAGTCCTCTGTTCTCAATGGATCTATAAGAAACCCCTTTCTTCCTCTGATTAATAAGCAACTGCGGCAGCCGTGGTGAATTCATGGTTTCTTTTTCAAACTGCGTCTTTTTTAAAAGTGACCACTGTATCTGCTGTAGCCTGAATAAACAGAGGACTTAAATCAGCATGCCCGTCGAGCTAGTGCTGTTCATGAACGCTAATCTCATTAAAAAAGAGAGAATTGTACATTGAGCCAAGCAGCTGGCTAAGGTCATTTGCACCGTGGGCTGTCGTGGTGCCAGGCCAGGTTGACAGCTGGGACCTCGTAGGGTAAATAAGACAGCTGAGCTCTGGTGCGGGCTACAGCAATGCGTCTGTGCTGGTGGGATGCTCCGGTGCAAATTCTTTTCCTCTGAACTGTCAGTCAGGCTCCTGTGTGTCCCAGTCTTCTCCAAGGGCATGGCCCACTAACGTGGCTCTATCCAGTTACTTAACACCTGGCAGCTGTGAGGGTGTTTGTCTGTTTGTCCTCTTCATTGAGCCTGGAAAAGAAGAAGAAAATAAACGGCTGGAGACAGAATCCTGCAACTGTGAGAAGAGAACAAATTTATTTTCCATCATTCTTGTTGTTGCATCTGGTTTCCCAAAGCACCAGCCTGGGGATACCTAGGCAGGTATCAATAGGAGAAGACAACAAAGGGCCTGGCACAGGTCCAGAGTAGTTGACAGCAGACCCGAAGTCTTTGTCAGTTGTTCTGCCCTTTAGCACAGAAGAACAAAAACTAGTTCACGTTTTTGGCCCCCTTCTTTCTGGTCTTTGAATCAACCCATTTAGTATAAATTGGAGCAGGCTGCACCTATTGCCATGAGTAGAGCAGAAACAGGGTGTGCTCTGGTCGTATCCTCATGTTCTTTTTACAGGCAAGTTTGAGAGCTGAGGGATGCGTGGAGTTGTCTCAACACCCACTCCCACCCTCCCCCCCCATTATTTTCTGGGGTGCTCTTTGTACTCTCATAAGCTTCTGGCTCCAGAGTCAGCGTAATTCAAATTTGGTCCCTATGAATTCTTGGAGCTGAAAATATGGGAAGGATTCAATAGGATGAACTATTTTAAAAATTTGTTTTTTCGACTTATCTATATACCAGAAGGAAACCATGCCAGTGCCACAAGTGGCTGGTTTGTAGAATTTTATTCTGAGAGCTTCCACACATTTTTTGGAGAGGTTGTAAGCTTATTCTGAAGGAGAAAGCCGTGCGCTGCTTAGGTGCAGTTTGTACGGGTTTTTTCTAGCCGTGGGGATGAGTTGCAGTATAACACACGGAGGAAAGTGGTCCTGTGACAGGGACGTATGTGGTGGAAACCCTTCGGATATCTGGCCAGGTGGTTATGGATTGTGATATGAGGGAACAGGGAGAGAAGATGCTTTTTTGAATCCAGCGAGATGTTCTGAAACATCCAGAAGGACTTATCTGTGTTTACGTTGTTTATAAAAGAAGAAAATCTATGTATGCAGAATGTGCCCGTCATGAGTGATTATTTGTCAGGGTTAAATATGAATTGCATTTGTATCAATGGGTGAGATGTATGTAGATGAAGGCTTTTAGTATAAGCATTAAATGAGGCTCCACTGACTACATGGGAGCTGCAGGGCGGTAATGAAGAGACATGGTTCATTCAAATTTCATACTGCGTAGCTTGTTCCTTTCCAAATAGGTTTTATTTAATAATATTTGTTATTTTGATAGCTTCCTCTCCTCCCCCTCACTGTACTTCCCAACTTCTTTCCGTAAATGTATCAACATGGTAAAAAAATTCCATAAACAGAGATAACAAGCTTTTTATGTGCTCATATGTATTGTTATTCATAGTACACATTAAATGCCTAGGGTTACCGCTTTTGGTCCTTAAGGGACATAGTAATAAAAATTCAACAGCCATTTTTTTCCTAATCAGAATTCTGTACTGAATGCATCTGGCTTGGAACTAGTAGATTAAAAAAAGGCAATAAAAGCGCTGCTTAGCTCTTAGCTATTTTTTTTTTTTTTTTTCCTTTTGGGTATCATAAATTGCTTGCATCGAAATCCAAGATATAACCTGTCTTGTTTTTAAGGGAAGATGAATTTTGGATTAAAATTCAAAGTGAATTTTTCATAGAGGAGTGAAACATTTAAGCACCCCTCAGTACCTTATATTTAACTAGTTTTTAAGTGATCTTATGTCTTAAAATATTTGTATACTTAATACTTCATCATAGGCTTTAAGTGATCTTATGTCTTAAAATATTTGTATACTTAATACTTCATCATAGGCTTTGAAATGTATTTTATTATTGAAGTAGCAGCCTGCCTTAATATGCTTTGGGAGGGAGCTTTAAGGGTGCATGCACTGGCCCTTAAAGCTATAGGGCTGCAGAAAATGGGTTTAATCTTCCATGCAAAGTTTGTTGTTGCCCCAAACAGGCACGGCAGCAAAGTGGTTAGCTTCCAATCTTAGGCCCTTTGAGACACCTGGCAAGCAAATGAGTGCTTTGTGTGTGCTGTCCTGCTGGTATGGGGGTTTGTTGCTGTTAATTAATGTAATAAAAGCATATAAGTAGAGTTTCCATTAAGATATTTTTCCGAGGAGGGTCACTGATCTGAAGAGCATCTATTGATCAAGGCTGATGTTTTGAAAACTACATTAGCTTCTTAGAACTCAGCTTGTCTTTTGCTATGTGATAAAATCAGAACTAAGATACCTATTTGCAACCATAGTAGTTTAGTTTTCCAATTTGTTATTGCTTGGAAAATGGACCTGTGCATCCTGGTACGGCCCCTTGGAGGTTAGCAGGTGGCAGGAGAGCTGTGGGCTGGAGTGTGGTGGGACAGGTAAGTGTCGCTTGGCTGCGAGGCCACAGCCAGCGCTGTGATTTTAAAACAGCTTGAAATTGCGTGTTTCCATATCATTCATCTTCTTTTAGCCAGTTCCTCCGCTGGCCACGGGAATCTGGTGTCACCAGCGTGGAGGGCTCGAGTGCTCCTACGATGGCTCCGTAAAGGATGAGGGGCTCAGGCCCCCTCTGGCATGGGGGGCACGGAGAGAGTCGGTGTCTGCTTTGGAGAAGCGGCCCTGCCATCTCCCTCTCAGGCTTCCCCAAAAAGGAGGCTGGTGGTAGAGGGCTGGGAGTGGCCGCGCTGTCGGGATGGGCAGCTCTCGGGCCTCACGCCGCAGCGGTACGGCAAAGGGGGCATTCGCCCACCACTTAGGGAGCTCACAAAGCCATTTTCTGGGAAATGCACGAGACAAAGAGCGAGCGCGATGGCCTGCTCTATAACGTGAATTTATGGCTGAGCTGCTGACCCATCTTCAAATGCAGCAGTTTGAGCCGTGCATTATAATATGGGATTAAATTTGCCTGTCCCTTTGAGTTACTAGTGGCATTAGTCGTCTTCGCTATGAGTGTCCAGCTGGGTTGCTGAAATTACTGCTTTTCGCCCCAGGACTTCTTTCCAGGGCTTTTGCATTGGTTTTTGCATGTGTATGGTATTTTTAATATCTCTTACTTACCCTGCTTATCTCTTTCTTTTAAATTTTGTTAATATCTGTTAGAAGACAGTATTAAAGAAAATACTTTGAGAAATGTTTTAGCTTTTCCACGTGGTTTAGATCGCTTTATCTTTTGGTGGTTCCATTAACTCTACAGTTGTCATTGCTATATTTTTGCAGAGAGGTGCTACTGTCTGTACTTAAGTTACCTGAAATCCATAAAAATTGCACTCTAAAAAATTTACAATATCCCTGTTACGATGGATTTGAAGTGCTCCATTGCTTAGGCACAAACCTCATGTAGTTGCCTCCTTAAGCCAGTTGTTACCTGTTCTGTTCTGATAATGACATACATGAAAGATTAAAGATAACGGTGTTTTCTTGTGAGCATAGCCCAAGGTGAATTCTGTTGGCTAAATAAATAACTGAATTTAAAAAAAAAAAAAAAAAAAAAAAAGGAGAGGAGCTAAATGGTGTTTATAAACATAGCTCCAGAGTCAGCTTTCTAAACTCCCTCTTGGGGTATTTATCCAACTTGGCTTACTTTTCTGGGTATTTTGGTGGGCTTTTTTGTTTTTATTACTGCTGTGGTATAAAACCCCCTTAATGACAGCACTAACAGAGGAGAGCCGTGCCAGCATGACAGCTCTGGTAAGCAGGCGTAAAGAGGGGATAAAGCTGTGACCTCCGCTTGTGCTCCGTTGCGAGTGCTGGGCTGTGTTTTGTGGGTGTGGTGCAAGGAGGTGCAGGGGCAAGTCCCCCACCGGTCCCCCTGGGTCACCCGTGGGTGGGTTGACGTGGGGGGAGAGCTGCTGTGTGACATCAGTTGTGCCTTCAGACATCGCAAGGATCTCACGCTGTTCTCCTCCTTGGCAGGGAATTGGTTTTACGAGTGTACTTGGCTGGCGTATTGTGGAGCAGAATTGGCAAGTCGGTGCAGTTTTTGCATTGCTGATGCCCATTCACGTTCTGAAAATTGTGTGCGTATGGTACAAATTAGCAT